TCCTATCTACTCCCTCTGGAACTCAGACTTTGTTTTGTAGTGTGGAGTTACACACTAGTTGCTTTGTAATGTGAAATAACAAGAAAAATAAACTATCACATAATATACAGACTAATAAGCATGAGGTGACTTAGAATGCTGTCAAATGTGTAGCTTAAATATATTTGGAATAACATTTAATGTTTTTTGAGAGTAGGAAAGTATCTTTTCAAATGTGTATACTTTTCTAAATGCTGACATGCTTAGTAGTCTCAATCACCCCCCCCAAAAAAAAAAAAAAAAAAAAAAAAAAAAAAAAAAACCCACCTCACTGTTGCCACAGCATCTACCAGGAGAGTAGCCTAGTTTAGCCTCTTCAAAATCTGCTTGCCTAGTTGGCCCTTGGCCTGATAATACTGCCTGGAGTGCCATCTTCTCCAGTCCAGGGTAAGTAACTCAAGGGAAAACTATGGAAGGGCACTTTATCTCTTAAAAGGCGTTATTTTAAAGTGTACACCAAAAATAGCATTTTTTTTACACAGTTGTTCAAAATGCTTAGTTTCATGTGACTCAGCTTCTTGGTGCATTTCATATACTTCTGGATTTTTTCTTGAAAATTGATGTTTTGGACATCTAGGGTTGTGATTTGGAAAGGTCCATTAGGGTCTCCTCATTTCCCAGTGTGAAAATGGCAAGACTCCTGAAATTGAAAAGACTATTTGAGACTTTGCAGAAGAGGTTTATCAACTAAAGATAGCCTTTTTTCTTTTCTTTTTTTTTTTTTTTTTTTTTTTTAAACTGTAGAGTAAATAAACTATGCTTGGCTTTCTGTGGTGTGAGTAGTGTAATAGTAGTGATAGCAGCAGCTGCTATATCTGTATGATCTCAACCTCTCCACTATTGGAGGAGGTAAGGTAATAGTAAAACTGGAAATTTATGAAGACTGGATGTGCAGAAGGTGAAACTGGATGCTAAAATAGATGAGAGAGTGCAAAACAAAGATTATAAGATGTGTGTTACTCAGTAAAGGAAGAAAATTGATTCAATGTGGGCTGCATGGTTGACTCTCTGAATTGTGGTCAACTGTTCAAACAATGAAGAATATAGTTTCCCACCTTTGTGGGATGAGGTGACTGAGTAATTCCCACTTCAGGCCAGCTTTTGTGTGGCTAAATTTTCCATTGCAATGTCTGACTTTCTGCAGTTCTAGACTCTTGAGCTTATAATGCTCCATATTAATGTGCTGGTGTAATAGCAGTCATGTTCTAATAAAGCAGACCCAAATGTCCTGTTGTAGTAGTTTAGTCTAGCACTGCCTGTCAGCTGCTCAGCAAGGACACGTGCACGAGCCAGATCTCCTTGTCAGCATCTGGTTGACTGAGCCACGGGACCATCTGTTAGTTTGGTTCCTTGTCTTGCTTTTTGTTCTGAATTTTCAGTTTCATCAAATTCTCTGGAAACAACTCTTCACCTCTCTCAGATGTGCAGCATTCACAGAGCAGATGCATTCACTTCATTAGATAAAATTTGAAGGAGGAGCAGGGGGAAGGGAGGGCTGGAAATTTCAAGTTAGGCATTTGGAGAACATAATGACCTTGGTAATTGAGGATGAAAGGTGCTAGCATCTCTGAATTATGCGTAATTTTCCACTGTTTATTTTGTCTGTCATGTAACTTCTGTAATTAGCTTTTTTCCTAAGCCATTTGAAGTCAGAAAGTTCAGCAGGCTTGAAAAAGGACAGTTCTCCTGCAGAGAATGTTTGTGTATGAGTGAGTGAAAAATACAGGGGGAATACAGATCCTGTATTTCAAAGTATAAGTCTATTATTGATACTTAAGCCATGTAATTCCTTATCTCTTTCCCCACCATTATAGAAAGAGGTATTTGTTGTCATTGTACGAACTGGAGATCGGAAGTGCTTTCTGTTGGCACAATTTGGGCTTTCTTAGCCTGTCTTAACCTCATTCAGAGGGAGAGTAAAGAAGCCCTGAGCCTCTCTGCTGCTGTTGATGCAGCTGCACCTGTTTAGGATTAAAGCCTTCAAGTATCGTAGCGTAGGTGCTGTTCAACTGTTGGGTTTAGAAAAAGGTTTCTTTTGTGTAATGTTCTCCAGTTTTTCATTTTAATTCTTAATGGTTTCTTCAGTATGTTACCTGAGTTCTGTTTGTGTTTGGAGTGCTGAGCTAGTAAACATAGCAGAAAGCCTGTACCAACCTGGTCTGTGGCTTCTGGATTCCCATTCAGCAGGAAGATCAGAGGCGAGGTGAAGGATGGCTTCCAGGTTTGAATTCTCATGACTTTGCACTTTCTCCTCCTCCTTAATTAATGAGAGGTAACACCTTTTTTTTTTTTTTTTTTTTTTTTTTTTTCAATGGAGCCATGTCAGCTCTCTGTGTTTGTGGTGAGCTTCTCCTGTGGTTTTGGCTTCCTATTGCTTTAGAACTGAGAATGCTGCATGGGAGGCCTCTGCTTATGATTCAGTTCAATATGGGCTTGAAAGACTGGGTTGTAGCTGTCCGAAACTAAACCGGACAGATGTCACCGTAAAACTACCACCTATGTGGTATGAACAGACCTCTCTCAAGTGTTAAGCATGCAGATCCTCTTTCATGTGCTAGTTTGATTTCTAGCAAATGTCAGTGACTATGGAAATATGGCAAAAATTATATATAGGCATGCTGCTGGTTATGGTTGAGCTTGCAAGATATTCAGACAGGGATTTATTGATCTGGGGAGAATGTTAAAGAATATATGAGTTTATAAGGCTAAGTGAGCTATACCACTTTACTTGGCAAATCTTAGCATTCACTACAATTTAAAATGTTTCACCTCCGCACTACAATAAGACAACTTTAGCTCAGTAACAGAAGTGATCCTTGTTCTACATTGTAACTAGACCCCCCCCCCCCAAAAAAAAATATAATTACATATATATATATATATATATATATACTGTTTTTTCTTCATTTGCAAAGACACATTTTAAAGCCAGGTCTCTGGTCTGTTTCACTGTCTAGTCTTGTGGATAAGCTGTGATGACACACCAAGTGAGGTGGTGCCTTAGAGTTTAAAGAATCCCTACTGTTATGCTAGTGTTGTTCCAGAGCTTCATGCTGTCATTGCCACATCTGAGATATTAATTTCTTCTTTCTATAAGTTACTAGAGACTGAACCTGTGCTCTAGTGAGTGTTTTAAATAGTCACTTATTACCTGTACAGATGAAGTTACTTGCTTGAACTTCAAGGACAGCAGATATTCAGAAGTAGAAGTTGAAGGTCTCACAGGTAGGTAATCAGTGGATCAGCATGGGTTATCTTAAATATGATCAACAGATTCAAAAGTAAACAGAGTGTAAAAGTCTGGTATAGCTATAGGTTTGTTGGCTGGTACGTAGTGAATGCTTGGTTTTAGTTGTTTCAAAAACTAGGTGCTTACGATAAGGCAATAGAGGAGTGATTGATTACGTGAAGTATAAATAAGACAATTCAGTGATCATATTCTTTTCTTTGGACTTCTTGGAGTCTGTTTCATTAAAAGCAGCATGAATTCCTGGAGACTTTTGTTGCTATTCAACAGCTAATTTTGTTTAAGCGCATTATACTGGTCTCAATCCAGGAGTTAAAGAAAATTTATTTTATGGATTTATAGAAAGCAAATTTATAGATTTATAGAAAAACTATATAATAGCCACTTTTATTTGAGAACTTTGTATAATCCTTGTTTAGCTTTAAAGTATTAGGGTTTCGGGACGGGACCAGACTTGCATTGTAATTAAATATTGACCTATTCCTGTGGCAGACTACTGTTGACTCATAGTGGCCAGTCTTCTGCCATCATTCTGCAGCCTTCTATTGCTAAAAGGAACCAGGAGGGATGTTAGTATTGAGGAACTGTCATTTGTGTTTGAAACTATAAGTATCTTGCTTTTCTGGGCAACCAAGCTGGGATATAATTAGGTGTATGCCTTTGTACCTGTTTATATCCTATGACTGTGAGATACCACTTTGAAATAAGTCATATCTGTGTCAAAATTGTTCTTAGCTGGAAGTGAGCGATTTGCTAAGCATATTTCTTCTGTCTTCTCATCTTCTTGCAGACCTTGGAGCTGTGAAATGTCTCTTGTAGGCTTCCCAAGTTGAACAAATGTTATGATCACTCCGCTTGGATCACTCCTGAACTAGCGGAAACTGCTAGTTCAGGAATAGCATCTTGGCAGATCGTGTTGATGACAATCTGTAGATGATGGTAGTGCATTGCCAACTGTTCTGGTAGTGCTGCCAGTTGAGTTTAGGATCTGCAGAGCTACAATAGCAGCAACCTGAGCAGACGGGCAGGATTGTGAATAATTGAGGATGATCTTAGTTTTCTTTTCCACATGCTATTTGTAGTTAAATAGAATCATGTAGATAGCAGTAGGATAAGAGAGGGAGCAGTGGGAGCTCCATGAGGATGTGGATAGTGTTAAGTATTGTTGGAGGAAGAAGGACTGACCTGCTAGGTGGTGGAAGAAGAAATGCAAATGGAACATATTTTGTAGTTTACAGTAGTAATGGCAAGCCCTTTTGGTATTTTAAAAAAGTGTTTTACTGGTGTCAAACTTGTCACTTGTGGGAAGGGATTTGTCATTACTGTCTCAGCGTACAGGCATGATCCTTTGTTTGGATTTCAGGTGTAGTCCAGAAAATTTCTGAAGAAATTTCGAAGGCCTTATCTCTGCAGTCATAGGAAAAAAAATCCTACGTGTTGCATTTTTAAAGTTTAAATTTAAACACAGTCAGAGTAAGTGATGAGACCTTTCGTACTAGGAGGCTTGTAATGGGTATTCCATTTTAGAAGTATGAAACGTGCATTTGCTTATTGGAGCACAATAGTTTAAGTGCTTCACATAGGCTTTACTGTGGTATCGCAGAAGAGAGTGAAATTTTTCTTCTTTTATAGTTAGGACTTTCATTTCTTCCTGTGATCTCAGAAGAGACATGTGTTTTCTGTATTAACTAGAATCTTTTTTTTTTTCTCTCCCATGCAGAAAGCCACAAAGAAAACTGACAAACCCCGGCCAGAGGAGAAGGATAACCTAGATGTAACAGAGCTCAGCAATGAAGATCTTCAAGAGCAGCTTACAAAATATGGGATAAATCCTGGCCCAATTGTAGGTAGGTCAACTGAACTAGAGATAGTGTATGTAGATATATTGCATGTGTATACATAAGTTATTTTATGTATCTCTAAACTTCAGCTCTGAGTACTCTGAGCATCTCTGATATGACTGCTTATTAAGTTTAGTACCAATGCTGTGGCAATTTTGTTTTCCATCTATACTTTTTTCATTAGACTACTTGCACAGAAAAGACTTGAAGCAGTGCTGTGTAGGCAAGTTCAGTTTGCTCCTGTTGTGTTCTGTGCCAGCTGGACATATTCCAACTTCCATTCTGAAGTTGTGTAACTGCTAAAGTTCAGTTCTGGGGTAATACAGCCTTCTGATACAGAGTTTGAGATCTGGGACCTGAATTGAGGGAACTTTGCCGGAGTGCTGCTTACTGCACTGTGAAGTAATGTTTTGCTTTACTTATTACTTTATTATATTATTACTTTATGATCCCTTGAATCTTGTGCTTTACCTTGTGTTCTAGCTAACGGCACCAGATGAGCTAGGGAGAGGCCCAGTACCCAGCTTAGCCTCTTGTCTTAGGCAGCCTCCTGTGATGGGGGCTTAGCTCCTCATCTCTCAGATTTTATACCACATTGGTACCTTGATTTCACAACTCTTTGGGAGATGACTGCTTCCTGTAGCATGCTGATATTTCTCCTGATGATGTGGAGTATACTCCACATACTGAGTGAATGGAAATGCCAGAGGTGCAGGCTATCTAGAGTCACACTTCTACACAAACAGTATTCATGACTTCTCATTCTGCCAGTTTCTGCTGGATAGCATTTGAATGAGTCTTCTGAAAATTTCAAAAACCTATACAGTTTGCTGGAAGGATCCATGAACTTGGAGATGATTGATCAAGACCTAGTTCTTTAGAGGGTATAGAGGCCATCTTGTGAGAGACTGCCACTTTTTTTAAAAGGAGTTTCATTTTGGAAGATGACTGAATTTGCTAACACGGCAAAGGTCAAACTGTGAGGATGGGAAGGGGTAAAAAGTCACAATGGGTGGAGACTGGGTACAGGGGTAGAAGGATTCTAATGGAAGCTGCCTGAAAACATAGCATAGGTGTTGACTCTTGCAGATTCCCAAGAAATAAGAGCAAAGATCTAGCAGTTAAGTCAGGAAGCCATGGCTTTAGTGTGTATCCTTCCTTTTTGCAGCTACTACCAGGAAACTTTATGAGAAGAAGCTTTTGAAGCTGATGGAGCATGGTCCAGAGCTGAAGTCTGCTGTGCCTCCCCCCACAGTCACCTCATCTGCCGAGAACACCAGGCAGAATGGAAATAACGATTCCGACCAGTACAGCGACAATGAGGAAGGTGAGGCTGAGGTGGAGCTTGAGTGTGAACTGTTCTGTTATATCAATAGTAGCTGCAGTAGAAGAAATTCTAAAATCTAGAGAGGCATGATCAGACACTAAAAGTGAATAAAACCTTTTGTACAGGACTTGATCCCTTTTATGCTATATTTCTTTTGGAGTTGGTTTAGGATGGGTTGTTGGAGGGGAGATGAGAGTGTAGACTTAAAATGTAGATATTTTTGTGTGTGTATGTATGTATGTCTGGATTTTTTTTTTTTTTTTTTTTGCTTTTGTGTTATGTCAAAAACTTCCCTGGACATTAGATTTGGGTACTTAAAATCTCCTTTGTATATTTGTGCTTGGTTTGAAACTGAGGGTTTGAGAGTTAGGAGGAGAGAGGGAGAGGCATCAGGTTGTACATACCTGTGTAAGAAGCTAAGAGACTTTAATAACTAAAGTTTAAATCTCCTGGTGTAATGCTATTAGAGTTTTAAAAGGGTGTGATGGATAATGCATCATCTTACTAGTAATATGACTGCTGACCACTTGCTCTTCCTTTGAATCAGAAAGGAGTACCTATGCTTGAAGGAAACAAAACTGAAAATGTAGATGTTTTGAGTAGGAAGCTTTTATTCCCATGACCAGAAATATTTATCCATAACAATGTAATATTATCTCTTAAAACGAATTCTATTAAAGTACAGGTTGGTTTACATTAATACAACCACCAGTAATATTGTAGATTACATGAAAGCTTGAGATAAAAAGACAAGCAGGTTCTTGAATTATTTTGGTGTTTTCAACTGTCAGAGTAATGGTGATTTTCTTTGTTTCTAGATCCAAAGACCGAGCTGAGGCTTGAGAAGAGAGAACCACTAAAAGCCAAGACAAAAGCTCCAGTAGGGCTCAAACAGAGAAGAGTTGTTGAGCACAACCAGGTATGTTTATTGTAGTGCCTTCTAGAATAGCTACTAACTGCAACTGTACTCACTAATCACCTTTTAATATAATCAAATTTGACTAAGTGGACTCTGTTCTTCAGAGCAAGTGATTTTTTTTTAAGCTTGCTTTATTAACAGCATAAAAAAAAGTGAACTAACTCTATAGCTGCTTTTTCTCTAATATTGAAAAGTGTATGGGTTTGCTAGCTCTAGGAAACTCTAAGGAAACTTAACAGTTAAGTTTTGGAGACCTGGTAGTTTAAGTGAAAAGAATGGATGTCGTTACTGTGTACCTGTAAACAACAGCAAAAGTTACTCAATTTCTCAAAGGAAGACTGGAGAAAAATAGATACATCTCCCTTTCCTACCTGTGCCCTTCATCCATATCGGTGGCAGTGGTACTTGGAGCATACTTCTAAGTTGTTGAAAAGATTGCTCTTACATGCTAGCTATTCAAGTCTCACTCTTTGTCCTTAACTTACATACAGAGTTATTAGTTCCCTTGTCTCCTTGAAGGAGGAATCTTGCAGAAGCACCTTAAATCTTGGAAGTGCTGACTGAATATTGGAATTAGTTCATCTGTCCTTACGTGACAGGGTCACTGAGTAGCCCACTGCCCAGTTAGATTACTGATATCATTACAGTATCAATGAGTTTTAACAGTGAGGGTGACAGAGCCCTGGAACAGGCTGCTGAGAGAGGTTGCGGAATGACCCTGCCTGTGCAGGGGGGTTGGACTAGATGATCTCTAGAGGTCCCTTCCAACCTCAAGGATTCTACGATTCTTAGGAGTGCAAACTAAACTGACTTAACTTCTTCCAAATTACATGGTTCCCAGAACATAGTCTTTTACTTATTCAAGCAACTTCCATGCAAGGTAGTTTTTATAATGGGCATCTTACTCTTTAGGATTCTTAAATGATAAGAATTACATTTTTCTAAATTGTCATTCATCTGGAAGTTCCTGTCAGCTTCAGTATGGTTGGAGTATTTAATAAATTTGGCCATCAATAAATTAAGCTTCATAATTCTTTGGAACATACCTAGATGATTATAGCTACTTCTTCCAGACACAGCCACCCTCTCTGATATTTCTGTGGCATTTTTGATTAGTATTCAATCAATGCAGTAGTCATTTTTTTCTTTATTAACCAATTTTACTACAGTAACAGTCACCATTCTGTTTTCTCTTGCAACCTTTTATATGTAATTAGAACAGGAAAGCTCCAAAATATTGCATCTGTAATACACAGGTAGTTAAAGGAGTAGCAGTTTACTCTCAAATAAGATGTTTTCAGAGTTAGATTCAACTGTGTAGACCTCAGGAAGCAGAAAACTGAAATGTTTTCATGTAGCAAATATACCAAAATAAATAGCTGTATATTTTGCTAAGGTGAAAGATAGGTGAGAGATAACTGGCCATGTTTATTTTGGAGTGTGTGGGGTGTGTCTGGAGTCAGATATTACCATGACACCTAAATGTGTCAGGTGACTGTACTTGCTTTAGAGTTGCATCTACTGACATTCACTGTGTGGCACTGGCTGAAAGGTTCTAAGGCTCTGAGGAGCACAGGGGCTGAGCTTGTTGGTACTGTGGTATGAGCAGACCAGCATGTTGCTTCTAGGCTCTTGTCACATTATTCTTAGCCCAGACACACAGAACTGAAAGGATTCTGTATATGTCACCTGGTTCTTAACTATGGATTTGGCACCGATTAATATCGCTCTCTTAAGAGTGCAAATAGAAAGGCTTTAAAGAGGCAGCTATGCAGGGTCTTTGGGGGCTGAACACTTGTGTGGGTCTTATCAGTCAGGTAGCAAGAGTGCTGGATGAATGTGAGCTCAGCTGATGGTGCATTATTTGCCAGGTCACAGTGAACTGGAAAAGTTGGAATGAAACTGTATTTGAATGTCCCTTTCAAATCATTTAGATAGGGGCTTAGTGAACAAAACAGTGAGCTTAAGGTCTTGTGAAGGATGGCACTGGGGAAAGAGGACTAGACCACCTAAATCCTAGAGTCTCCTGCAGTGTAGGTGTGCTTTCTCCTTTGGAAACTGTACAGTGCCATTCTGGATGTGCTGTGTTCCCATTTGCTTGTTTTTCTGGCTAATTGGATAGCTGGACTTACCGGTAATAAAATATGCAACTTTGAATTATAAATGAAATATAAATGTTAACATGTTCTGTGGCATACACCTGATAAAAGCGTGAAACAGAAGTGGCAGACGATAGCTAAGGTAAGGTCATTTCAGTGCCTTGAAAGCAAAGCAAAACACTTGTGCTCCCTCTGCTGGATATGCAGTAGCTGTAACATGGAACATGTATATGGAATCTTAAAGTTGCTCACCTTCTGGTTTAGTCAGAGTAATTTGGAGATACAGGTAGGGAGCTCAAAACAAGATGCTATTAGATGCTTCATTCATTCAATTTTCACAGTTCCTAATGCTTTTTAGACTTACAATGTTGAACCTGTTTCAGGTTGATCACTTGAAGACCCCCATAGTGAAATGAAACTTGTTTCCGTGCAGAGTTAAGATTATGCTTTTTAGACTAGAACACGTGTCCAAGTCATATCTACTCCTTCCCCCCCTCCAAACTGTTTGGAAATTAGGTCCTGTAGAAATGCAGATGGCTGTGTCTAAACCAGTTCTATCTCTACATGTGAAAAGAAACTCATACTTAGGTAGAGAGTTGTGGTGATGCCTTTAGCATGTGCTTATAGTTCGGTTTATTCTTTTTTTTTGTCTGTAGATGGATGATATAATGGGACTGAAAGTTGACACATGCAGTATTCAAGAAAACAAGCTCTTTCCCTCTGCTACTATGAGCAGGCTGTCAGTTCTGTTTTTATGATAGGGCATTATACACTCATTTCTTTGGAGGAAAATAATGCTCTCAAGGTCTGTGTTCAACAATAGTGATCTAGCTGTCCATACATTACTGAATGCACTAGGATCCAAGATTTGTTTTCTTTGGATTGTAGACACACTGCTTCTGCAATATGCATGCTACTTGGCTTTCGGTTACGGGTATCAGATGTTGAGACTTGGCTTTTTCATGCGTTTGATAAATATGTTTGATGCTTGACTAGACCTATTCTCAAGATGGAATTACTGAGACTCTCTGGACAAGTGGATCTTCCAAAAGTGGACCTCTGCAGGCATTTTCTAGGGAGTCTACAAGAGTGTCAAGAAGAACACCAAGGAAAAGGGTGATGAGAGGCTTATAATAGACCTTTTCCTCCCCTCCCCACTACTGGGTCCCAGTGGTGACTTTATTCAATTGTTTTCTTCTGTTTTTGAATGAACAGGTGGACGCTGTAGCACAGTTGCCAGTAGATGATGCTGTAATGTCAGAGAGTACTCCCATAGCTGAAACTATACTGACGGCAAGCAACGAGAGCCTAGTAAATATGCTTAGTAAATATACTTTAAGTATGCAAATGGTATTCTTTTGTAGTATACATTTACTGACAGAATTACTCTGTTTTAAACAATTTCTTTAAAACACTCCTGTATTCATTAGTAGACACCTAGGTCTCATCTAGTGTCTTTTAAGGGTGGAGGGTTGAAGAGAACTATTGTAAAAACTTAGATCTTTTCATTTATTTAATTATGTGCAGAATATCTGATTTTAAGCTTTGTTTTCTTGTGAACTAAATAGGGTTTTTTTATGTGTGTTTCTGAATGGATTAAAAGAAGCTACTTGGAATGCCAAGCAGTGTGCTTTACTATGCTTATTTTGATACTGTTACATAACCTTTGTGAGTTAACTTCTAGCATGCTTATATTCAATGCACATAAAGATATTATTGTTTAGTTCTTCTCCCTCCTTTTCCCCGTCTTTCCCCTCCCCATCCTGTATTTTGGCTAATTCTGAGTCTGCACAATTTTGAATCTCGGCAGGTTGTCAATAGGGTGTCCGGAAATTTCAAGCATGCAGCTCCTACACTATCAATCAGTGAGTTCTCAGACATGCCCAGAAGAACACCAAAGAAACCACTGATGACAGCTGAAGTAAATACACTCTAAACTTAGATTGCTCTTGCTTACTCTTTGGGAAAGAGGCTCTTGTGTGTTTACTGACCAGAAGAGAAGGGGTGGAGGGTGTCATTGATGGGGTGGCATGCTAGTCAAACTGAACTATGCTATCACATCACATAAATAGAGAATGTAAACTTATGCGATCTTCCTCTTCCAGATTTATAACTTGTAAATGAAAATGTCTTGCTTTGTTTCAAGCCAAGTATGTTTTGGAGTGTTATGTCTGCCTGTGCTGCTCTCTCTTTCCCCATACAGAATGTCACGTTTGCTTTTAAATTGTTTTAGTAGCTCAAAGACAGCAGAACTTGATCATATGGTTTTGGTCTTCTAAAACAGCATATCCTGAAGAACTGTAATTTGTCTCGATTTAGGAAGTCAAATAGTGGGACTATTTTACATGAAAAGTCTGAATTGTAAAAGCATGCAAGTAGGTTCCTGTCAGTTATTGAGAAAGGATAATTCTTGAAGCTCTCAAAATGATTTGTCCCTTGGAAAACTGTCTGAAGCAAATATATATATTTTTTTATTACTTGTAATGCTGTGATAGTATGAAATTATGCAAAATATTTTTTGGCCTAATTTAGATGGAGCTTATTGTTTCACATAGTTATGAAAGGAAAAACTTGAATTAACACTTGTGAAGGCTACTTTACTAGTAGATCTTTCCATTTTATCAAATGGGCTACTTTATTTAAAAAGTGAGTGCCTGCAATTCTGACTTAGATGTCAGACAAAAGTGTGTGGGGAAAACCTGGTGTTCTGTTACTTCATGTTGCATGAATCTTTCCAGTTAGTGTTTAACTGGAGCAGTGTTTGTTACAGCAAGAAGAGAAAGGCTGCCATCAGTGTTCTTGTAATCATGTTGGCCACAGACAGTCCTGTGATCTGCTCAGCACAGCCATGATAGAGGTTTTGGTTAAGTTGCTATTGATCATCTAGATGTCAGATGTAATCATTATTTATACAAAATATTCCTTCTCTTAATGAGAACACTGAATGCATTATGATACCAAAAGTGACCAGAAAGATGCTATTAACAAAGATTAAACCCATTTTTAAAACCCATGAAATAAGCCTCTAAAATGCCACTGGGTGACTGTCCTTCTTCCTTAAAAAATGCACCTGCTTAAGGTTACAGATACATCTGCAGGAATATTTTGTTTTGAGTCTTTTAGGCCTATAACTTCATGTTTTTCTAGGTGCTGGAGAGAACTCATACAGAAGAAAGACAAGTAGAAAGGGATATTCTTAAGGAGATGTTCCCTTATGAAGTATCAACACCTACAGGAATCAGGTATTACTTGAGTTTTTTGGGGATTGGGAGGGGGTAGTTATTTCTTAATCAGTTCTTGTAAGCATGTTTAGGCTTGGAGGTGTTTCTGATTAACTTGCCAGATTTCTAAGCAACAGGTTTTGCATTCTGGCTCAGTTGCAGTTGGGATGACCACCTAGCTGCTCTTTTTTGTTTTATGCATATAGTTTTGTTGGCCAAAACAGCATCTTTTAATATAAAATCGGGGCAGGGAAGTACTGTAGCAGTCATTATTACTGGAGCTTTTGGATACTGAAAGTTGAATGGAAAGAGGTTTTCTGTGTAGTAACATTTAACAATATTTATTTATTTGTTTATTTATTTATCGTGCTAGACTAACTCTTGGATTAAGGAAACATAGATTTTGTGTTCCTCTTCAACAGTCAAAGATTTTTCAAGTACTTTTGTTCTCTAAGTAATAGTCCTGTGGCAGTTAAGGACTACTTAATGTGAATAAGGGCAGCACCTGGGAAGGGCTGCTGCTTTTCTTTGTATTTAAACAAAAATGAAACAGCATTCATTTTCCAGGCCCATGGATAATTTAGCTTTTTTCTACTGTAACTTTTTTTACAAAACCTTGGCTTGTCACTCTTAAGAATATAGGAGGAAGATGTTTCCCAAGGGTTAGACAATAAGAAATAAACTCTTAAGTCATTTCAGTCATGCCAGTTGGCTTTTTATTTCAGTGTAATCTGCAATTCTATAAGAATGTTTGGAACTAGCTGCTGTGTAATATTTTCTTTCCACTTGATTTTTTTCTCTAGTTTTGGATTTATGAGTAGTTAAATATATGCCATTCTTGTATATGTGCCACTGTGTGTGTGTGTGTGTTCTTTGCACATAAGGACAAGACAATTTAAATGCAATTCTTAAATAGAACTGTTTTTTTCCTTTTTTTTGAGAGGGAAGAAGAGAATGAAAAGGGGAGATGGGCACTATGTGTGTGGCATTATATCTGATAAGTTACTATGAAATATATTTCGGTACTCCAGTGGTTGGAAGTGGCAGTACTAAAAATTTCCTATAAAGCTTAGCTTGCTCCCTTACATTGTCAATTATTTTTTTAATTGACAGTGCTAGCTGCCGTAGACCCATCAAAGGAGCTGCTAGCCGGCCTCTAGAGCCCAGTGACTTCAGAATGGAGGAAAGTTTCTCTTCCAAGTATGTTCCAAAATATGGTACCGCAACAGACATGAAGGCGGAGAAGCCACCAGTAAAAGAACGCTCTATTCCCCGGTGGATAAAAATTCTTCTCTTTGTTGTTGTTTCACTTTTCTTGTTTTCAGTCTATCAATCTATGGAAACAAATCAAGGAAATCCTTTCTCTAGATATCTGAATCTTTCCTCTGGGGAAGGTGACAAATGAGTATCTTTCAGAAAGGCTCGCCCTGTTTGGTCTCCTGTTTCTAATTGTAGAGAACTCTCCTGCCCTCTCATCGGCCCAAGGACTATCTTCAGATAATGTGATTGGAACCTAGTAAATTGGATAAATGAAGCAAGATAATATGAATGGACATCAATAACTGGACTTTGGACTAGTTGGAGATCACATTGCCATAGGAGTAACATTTTTTTAGATCTCGAACTTTTTGTAGGCTTTATTTTTTTAATGTGGACATCCTTAAAAATTCATTTTTGAGAAATTGTATATTTGTTTTTGCAAAAAGTTTGAAGCTGAGAAGGGCAAAATTGTAGTAAAATGTGAAGCTGTGTCTTTAAGCTTTTTCTTTGTACAGAAAGGAGGTTGTACTTCTGTCTCTGGATTATAGTGGAGGAGGATTTTAACACAGGTAATAAAGGGAAATACATTTTTGCAGTAACAGTATAACTGCATTTGATCTCTTTTAGCATGTAGGGAGAGTACAGTGATAACCTTTTTCTGTAGATTACTGTAATTTTTTAGTAAATGGAACTAAGCTTGTTTGCATTTCTGTAAAAGTCTTAGCATCATATTAGTAACTCTGTTTAAGCGTAACATTTTTTAAATGTATCACTTCATTTTAGTACTTAATAGTGTAGGAGCTGAAAACATTAATTGGCAACATGTCTTAGAGGAACTTATTTATTAGCAATACGTGTGGAAAATAAAATTTGCATCAAATATAATTTGCTACTAAAATACTTTTGATGTCAGGGTGGTTGTCTGAAGTAATTCTAAATTCTGAATTTAGCAGCTTTTGTTTAAAAGCAAGGTCTTTCCATCACAGCTTTGTATGACTATCTGTGAATATTCATGTAGAGAGGTATTTCTCAAAGCGTGAAAATTCCATATGAAGTCTTATCCTTATATGAAGAGGGCATTGCTGCATTATCTGCTACCGTTTCATCTTTTAAGGTGAGATTTACTACTTTCATGCAGTTGAATATTTGTCTCAGTGGAAGCATGCTGAAATACTCTACATTGTGTAATTAGTTGTAAGCAGCTGACTTCACTAGTACCAATGAAGAGTGGTAAGCAACAACTTAACGTGAATGTATACATTTTGATGTACTTAAATCTGTAGCATACAGATAACTGGTCTCATTGCTTAGTACAAAATTGCAATAATCCTCTTTTTACTCTTAAAGTGCTACTTATGAAAAGCTGAGGACTTTAGTTAAACGTAGTCTATACCTTGTCGCTATAGGCACAACATTAATGCTTAGACTGTAGCCATGGGGAAAAGCTTTTCTTTCTGTGAGCTTTGGGATAGACATGGTAACTGGTAGCAAAGCAATAGTTTTTCTTTCTGTTAAGATTAATATTTTTTTCCTCTCAAACCTGTCTTTTGAGTAATCTAAGTAGCTAAAATTTGTGTCCATCCTATAGAAAATTGTAATGACATTCACTTTTGTTGTCAAAATGCAGAAAAATAAAAGTGATATCAATGTGTGTGGGCTTTCCTTATTAAAATAAATGCTTTGCTGAAAAACAGTAAAAGCAAAACGCCTGTGGATCAGTGGTGTCTTTTTGTGCTCCTGCTGGCTATTATGTTAATGTTAGACTGTTAATGTCTAACATAATGCAGGGGAATCTAATAGTTTAATAGAACACAAAAAGAAGCAATTCATGTATTCAAGCTTGTTGGGGGGGAGGGGAAATATTATGCTTGCACCTTTAACATATGTCCAATCTTCATTTATTTCAGTTGCTATATTAATAAATATGTGTATTTTTCTTTTTTTAGTTATATGAAATACTTGCTATGGCTTCCTTCAGGAGTATCATTTAGCATCTTAAAGTAAAACCAAAAAAATACACTGCAACTAAATGTCACCATTCATTTATGCACTGTCTTGGAGAGTCTCCTACAGGAACTTCTCAACTTCATTGTTACTTCACACAAGGTAAAGACTTTTCCACATAACTGCTCAAAAGAATCTACACAAACTTGAGTTGTAGTAGGAAGACAGTGTAATCGACACACACACACGCGTGCGCACACACACGCAGAGAGCTGCTTCTACTTGAATCATTTCATGTTGGGGGAATTTGGCACTGCTTTTTCTTACGATTGGTCATATTACCTGTCAGAATGCTGAGAATATTTCAGGTGCTAATTTGCCAGTCTTAGAGTTACAGATTTCTATTGGTAATAGAAATTCTGTTGGTGAGTTTGTGCTTTTCCTTTAAATCATGTGCTACTCTTAGCACTGTCTCAGTAATCTGATATCAGGCTGAGAATCACTGAACTCTGTCCTGTCTGGGGTTGAGACTCAGCTTGTCTGATAGGGAAAGGCTGTGGGAGCTTAAATGTGTAGCTTTAGTTGAGGCATGCTAAGTAGACAAATAATGGTTTTCAATGACAAACTTGTAGAAGGAAGCTCTTTAATAGAAGGAAAAAATAGTAATGATAAATGACACTACTTTGGGTGGTATTTTTAGCTGGTTTTGATAAGGCAGCAGTTCCATATTTGGCAGAGGAGTTTGGAATGAATGGGGGGGGAAAAGGCTTCTGACTGATCAAAGAAGGTATGAGGAGGGATATATGATGGAGTATGTGTTTTTTGGAGGGGGAGTTTGTTTGCTTTTACATCTTGATGTTTACAGACTGATGTTTCAACATGTCAGGAAATATAGCTTTAACTTTATGCTTGGTGTTGGGATCAAAACTACTTTAGGTATAGGTCTGGTTTTGACAGTCTCTTAAAAAAAAATTGAATTCAATGTACCTTTGTGTGTCTAAAACATTGCTGTGCCTCTCACCTCTCTCTCTTCTTGGGGAGCCGACCAGGCTGTCTTGCAGCAGTGTGACAGCAGGCTATGGTAGAGGCGTGCATACACCATAACTCTACAAGTCAATTAAGCTAGTAAAATTGTTCAAAGGTGGCAAATATGTCGCTTAAGTGTTATTTGTATAATACCCAGAAGATTAACACCTCAGACTGTGCCACCTTTGCATGGTCAGTATGGTGATTTGTAATTAAAAGGTATTAATGGGGTTAAAAGTACTGATGCCTTTTCTGTATCGGGAGTGGGGGGGGCCTGAATAATGTAGTAAGTGGGGAGGATGAAGGTTAGGAAATACTATCAAGGATACCAAGAGTTTATGGAAGTCACTAGTGGCAATAGGAGGGGTTTCACTGCTTAGTGCATTTGAAGGATGTAACTGGACTAGCACCAACTTCGGATGCCAGTGACAGAGCTGCTGCAGTCTGAGGTCTCGTGTGGCTGGTGAAAGCTGCCTCGAGTTCTCATCTGCTGCTGATTCTCTAGAATCACAGCTCAGTATCTTTGGGGTTGGCAAAACCAATGAGTCCATAAGTGATGTGCCTGCAACAGAAGAGCATGCAGCTTATTGACTGTACTGTACATGAGGGAGAAATTGGAAGGTGTCTGCAGTTTGCATTAACGAAAGCTTTACAGCTGCCAAGCTGACTATTCCTATACTTCTAAGACTCGAAGAGTGGCTAATTAGAAAGTGGTTTTGATTTACAATAATTTTATCTAGTCTCACGTCAATTCTTTCATTGCTGCAAAGATAAGTATGTGTTTGGCTTTCACCTGTAACTTTGTTACCAACAGCTGTTTGGATGCACATGAATAAGGCAGAACAAGTAGTATCAAAAAAAAAAAAAAAAAAAATATTGCTGTTGACAGCAATGAAGTGGCCCTTCAAGCTCTCAGCTAGTTGTTGAAGCAAACTATTCCAAGAATGCAAGTTTCTGCTGACCTTTTCCTGCGTAGCAGTTGGAGTGTGGCAAAGGTAGCTTACTCAAAACGGGCTTAGTAGTGGTGTAGGAGTCTTAGGTTGGATATTGAGCTTCTGTCTCCTTCCCTGTGTGCGAGTCTGCCTGGATAAGCAAGTGCAGCCATATCCTAAGGACATTGTAGTGGGTTGTCTTCCAGCATGGCTCCATGGGATCTGAGTTGTCTGATGGGATCTTTCCTCAGACTTGCAGTGCTGCTTTGCTATCAGCTGTGTAGCTGCTCTGTGCCCAGAATCAGTATCTTCTTCAGTGCATCTCCTGCTTTATGATCTCTTTGTGTATAGTGTTAAAGAGCACTGTAATGGAATAGAGCTGACCAAAATGCTGGAAAACTGGTAAAAGAATTTAAACTGGTAAAACAGTCTTTAGTAAAAGAGTTTAATTCTCTGTTGTGCTGTGCCAATTTCGTACTACATACATTCACTGAAGTAACTGGAATTACACTGCATTAGAAAAGGTGTAGTTTAAGGCAATCAAGCCCAAGCACAGCTGTAGTGCTGAGTAACACTTCACCATTGGTGAATCTGCACCTGGGTGTTTTTGTTCTTCTGGGATGTTCTTGCCTTTGAAGTCCAGGTCCCCCTTGGCTCTTCTGCAGCCTCGTCCTCCAGAGGCAAAGCTCGGCTGAGGAGGCTGTGGCCATTGCCACATTTTGTGCCCTGTCTGTAGAAGGAGCTTGGAACTGCGGCAAGAGGCTGGCGAGAGAAGTGCTCTGAGTAGTAGACATTATTAGATGCTGGGAGGCAGAACCAGAATTCACGATGATGCTGTTGAATTCCTTAAATTCATCTAAAACCAGCATCCATCAGCCCTAGCCTGCACTTGTCAGGAGCGGGTGATTGTGGCGCTGCAGCGCGAGGGCTGCGGCTGTGAGGCAGGGAGCGGGGGCCGTGTTTGATGCTGCCCTGGCCTCGCGCGGGGCAGACGCGGCTGTGGCCGTGGCCCTTCAGAAGGACGTGTCCTCGGGCGAGGGCAGCCGGGGTCTGGGCAAGCAGCCCACGGCGCGCTGCAGTGCCGCCCTCCCAGCTCCTCAGGAACCGGCCCCCAGGCGAAGGGGGGCGCAGGGACAGCGGGACCCGCTCGGGCCCGGCCGCTCCTGGCGCGGCGCCTC